TTTATAATTGGATAGACTATGTTAATTAACTCTACAGACCAGCATGATTGTATAACTTAGAGCCTTTGTAAAGTATTTTTATAATTTACATCTTTTGCATATAAAGTAGTTAAAAGGTATTCCATAAATTTTCACTTTTTAACAAGTATTTGAAAATTCAATGAAATGGCTAAGCAATAATATATCAAGTGCTTTATAACTGGAAAATATAAATATATGCATTGTCTACCACGTACTTTTGCCACACACATTTTTCATCTCCACGTACGAGTACATTGGCCCTGAATTTGAAATATCATGCTTATTATAAGTTTGAAGAATCTTACAGGTTTATCAAAGGATTCATTCTTACTCATATTCATATAATTGTATTTAAGGGTAAATTGCTCTTATGATCACATTTGATTGATTGGTTGTTGGTTGTTTTAATACAGTTTTAAAGCACATCAATGATCATGGTTTAAAATCTAACAACTTTACTTATGGTTTATCAGGGAAACTATGATATGCTCGTCACCTCCAAATTCAGATTGCAGGGGTGGAGTGGAGAAATGATTATCTGAAACCGTAAAATTGACCCTAGAGACTGAAGCTCATTAGAGTATATACCAGTAAGGATTCTTGGTTGCAAACAACAAAAAACAATTATGTTTAACTTAAGCAGAAAAATAATTCATTGGAAGAATATTAGGCAGCTCCCAGAAATGATAAAAAGGCTGGAGAACCAGCTTTGGAAAACAGTAGAAACCAAAGGAAGCTAGATGACCAAAATTATAGCCAAATTCCAACCTCAAGAAGATCTGGAAGCTCATGTATACATCTGCTGGCAGTGATGCCTCTGAAAACTGGATTCCCAACTCTGCTCATTCGCATCACTCATTCCAGGTTAAAAGTTTGGTGGGAATGTCCAACTTGACCATGCTTGGTCTTGTGCCAGCAGTCAGGCTGTCAGACATCAAAGACCACAAGTATATATAACCTTTTCAGCTTCTACAGAAGATGGGACCATTTCTTCTACCAAGATTACTAAACATATGAAATGTATTTAATGACTCAGCACCAAATATAAAAACATAAGAGTCCTACTATAGTCCATTTCTTTGTCTTTTCAACATCTACATATACCATTCTTACCATATTTACAAATTTTAAATGCTTTCTCCTAACAATACTATTATCCCCCTCTTCCAGTTTTAAGTCCAGGATCTCAGTGTGATGCCATTTCTCCTCTGGTTCTATAATCTTGTCTCAATAGTTTGCAACCCATAGACAAAATTGTGACCTCACCACCACCCCTATGTACAATAATAGTATAAGATAGGAAGGAAAAGAAAGTATATAAGCATATGCATGAGCCAGTGAGGAAGAAAATATTGCTACAGCAGTGCTTAGCAAGCTTCCTCGGTGAGAATTACCTGGCTTACTCATTTAAAAATACAAACTCCAGCGTACCATTACAGACCAACTGAATCAATCTCCAGGATAGGATATGAGTAGCAGCATGTTTTATATCCTAAAATTCTCTGATTAAAAAAAGAAAGAAAACCAGTCCAATTCTGGTAAATACAGTCGAATTCTGCCACTGGTCTTAAGGCTTATTCAGTTTCCTTTGTGACCAGCAAGTCAGCTAATCTAATCAGATTTCTTTACCTAGTAGGTGACCGGAGGATCTGAGGCTTGGGTGGTTTTGCCTCTACAGTAATGCCTTGGTTTGCGAGCATAATTCATTCCAGAAACAAATTACTTGTATTGCAAGACATTGCTCGTTTACCAAGTTAAAATGTATTAGAAATGCACATCTTGTGGGACACTCGCAAACCAAGTCACTCGCAATCCAAGGTTTTACTGTATATGGTTGCAACTGTCTTTGCTTATTTTTTACAATTTAACATGGTTATGGTAGGAGGTATTCCAGAAGATGAGATTCCCCTGAGTTCTAGTCAGACTTCTCTCCCTACTCCCCTTCCTCCCAAGGTTATCAGGGCCAGTCAACTAGCTAGCACATTACCACTTTCTCCCTTTCCTTAACTAGAGAAATGAGCTAAAAATTACCAGATGGCAATCCCAACTTCCAATTCAGGGAAAACGTATCCCCTTATACCCCTCTTGGTGCACTAACAGAACCTGGAATCATGGAGATGGAGAACAAGATCAGTGAAGGGTCTGAGATTTTATCCTACTTGCTGATTTGCTTGCTACAGTTTCATGGATGCTGACAGGAGACAGGAGACTCCTAGGTAAGAGACAAAAGACTATTACAGCAAAATAGTGTCAGCATTATTTGTACCAGTTCCTGGAGCCCCAATACCCACAGTCAGGCAGAGTACCAAATGGTACCTGTACATACATATTTGTGGGTTGCATTACAGGAGAAGAATCCAGGGCTGGGGGACAAGCAGTGAAGAAGCCAGTATCTTTCTCCCAGGGGAGCAGCAGTTAAATGGTGGTAATGCTATGGTCGCCTTGACCTATCTATATACCTGTATGACTAGCTACAGAAACTGCTAAGTAACAGGAGAGGGATAAGCCTTGCAGTTGGCATACTCAGCAATAATATGCAGGGATGCTCAGGACCCAGATTCTCCTCACAATGAGAAGCAAAATACATGGGTCGTGTGTCAGACGTATCAAGGTGTCAGTGCCTGTACTATTTTGGCCTTGTTATTCTGTCAATAGCTCTAAGAGGTATCAGTGAATACTGTTAACTCATTTGGAGCATATACCAAATCCTTTAGGACAGCATCCCAAAGTGTGTATTTTCTCACCTGGTTCCAAAAGTAAACCTTCAATAAGGCTGTCCATTCTATAAGATCAGTTTCTTCTGGTCTGATAGGATTGTGATAAGACTGATTAATCCCACAGTCATCAAAGCATGACCCTGCTTTGGTAAGAAGCAATGTTGTATGGGATGCTATATAACGTGTATGCTGTGTAATATATTTAATAAGCCCACAGCTGGAATGTATAAAAGAAGCATAAGTCAGGGAAAGCAATCCAAATGATTTACTATTCCTATAGAACAAGTTGCTACCTCTTTCATTATAGTAGGATTCCATTGCAATCAAACTTGCCACCCAAGCTATATAGTACAATATCAGAGGATTAGGTTGGTCCTTGCAAATAGTGGTGCTAACCAATCAGTGTTGGCAGGGGAAAATACTGTTTAAAAGTATGTGCATGTCTCCGTGCCACTATGGCTACCTCGTTAGTGAGCAACTGAGCAAACACAGCTGTGGTAGGGGGAAGGAGACTGATGTCTACAGAGTGGGTCATTGTGGTAGACAACTTCTAAAATGGCCTTCAGTGATCCCCCACCTGCTGTATTCATCCCTTGAGTAAACCTCTCCCTTTGAGAGTGGGCTCCATCTGATTCACTTCTAATGATAGAATACAGCAAAAGTGATGGATGTCACTTCTGAGATTACATTATAAAATGACTGGCTTCCATCTTGAGCAGTCTCTCTTGTTCTCTCATCTTTTCATTCTGTGGAAGACCAGCTGCTATATTGTGAGATAACCTTTGGAAGAGCCCATGTAGCATAGCACTGAGGAAGGCCTCAAGTCTAAAACCCCACAAGGAACTAAAAAATCCTGCCTATAATCGTGAGTTTGAAAGCAGATCCTCCCCTTGTCGTGCCTCCCTATGAGCCAGCTATCTTGACTGCAACCTCATTTAAGACCTAGAGCCAGAGGCACCCTCTCTCCTGTGAGAGAATAAATGTTGTTTTAAGCCCCAACATTTTGGTGTGTTAGGCAGTAATAGAGTAATCTTGTACTAAGAGTCCTTTGGCTATTGGAGCCTTTTTGGAGCATTCAGTGGGACCCAAATTCTATGCTTTGGGGCCATTTTGAGAGGTCCTATTCCAAATAATTATTCCAAAGCCTTTATATTCCCAGCCCCTGACAACTTGACTAAACCAGTGCCCATGTAATGATGTAGATCTTAAGCCATATCTCCTCCCAGGCAAAGTATACAGTCCTGCCCTCTGGGAAGAATTTTTTTTTTTTTTTACCTGTCTCTGGTCCTTGAGGTACTCGGTTAGGTAGGACTCTAAATGCCAAAGCCTGCTAAGTCAGTATATTGAGCAAAACCATCTGTAATCCAGCTTTGAATTTTTTCCTCAGTCAACTGTGACAAGGAACTCATCATTAAGCTGTAGATATGAGCTAAACGCCAAAAGTATGTGTATGAGTTAATGAAAATTGTGTGGGTTTTGGCTCTGGCCCTATTCTGTATATACCACTTCTTAGTGAAAGAAGTCCTTATCTAAGAGGACCAGATAACTTCCAGTTCATGAGAAACTCAGGTTGCATAGCCACCTGATGTCACATGACTACACATTACCAGGGTCCAATAGCTAACATATTTTCTTAAAAAGAAAAAAAAAAGAAAAAAATTCTAAATACCTCCACTGTGATTCTGTAAAGACACAGGTTACATAAAGCCTGCTGATCTGCCACATATGTTTCCAACATATTGAAGCTGTTGGGATTTAAGGGCCAATTGGCAGAGCTCCATCCACCGCAGCCCGCACCAGGTGGAAAGCCTTCTGTTGCTCTGCACTTCACTCAAAACTGTCATCTTTCAGATCATCTGATCAATGGGTCAGAGCCGGTGAATTAGGAGTTCGCCGAACAAGTAGAGGTTCAAAAAATAAATGAGAGTAGAGTAAAATGTGCTCAATCTTTGTATACTATAAAAGAGATCTTTCAAGAGACCTTTTGCCTCACATTTAGAGGAATAAACGAAATTATTCCCTCATCCAACTTCAGCTATGAATTGGGGCTTTAATTACTACTGCTTCAGGGTAATTTGGGCTCATTCTTCGTAACAAGGGTGCGCTCTGCTCCTTTTTACCTACAGACAACCTGGACCTGGAGCGCAGATTCTCAGCGCAGGCTACGGAGGCCCCGCCCCACCCACGGAGGCCCCGCCCCGCCGTGCCCGGCCGCTCGCAGGCCCCGCCTCACGAGAGCCCCGCCCCTCCTGTGGAGCTGACCCGGGACGACGCCGCTGGCTCCCAACCCCGGGCTGGGCCTGTGCGGACGCTGCGGGAGTCGGCGCCATGACCTTATACCGGCTAACTCGGTTTCTCGGTCGCGTTCCGGCCACAGCGTGGAGAGCGGCAAGTAAGGCGCCCGGCCTCGGGGCCAAGGTCGCGCGGGCGGGGTCGCGAAGGCCCCGGCGTCGCGAGAAAGGCCTCCCGCGGGGAAAGCCGCGTATGCCCCAGGCGTAGGAGGGGCGGAGGGTCGCCGAGCTTCTCTCTTCCTCAGCTCGGCCACCCGCGTCTTGGCCCTGGGCGGGTCCTGTCACCGCCCCGGATCTCGAGGGTGGGACGAGAGCTAGAAGCTCCCCAGAGCCCTTCCAAACCGGACGACTGCTTCCTTCCGGCCTCTGCGCTGAGCTGGAAGGGCTGCAAACGCTCCGGGTTGTGTATTTGGGAGCCCCCAGGGCGCACTACACTTTGAGGTTCATGGAAAAAAGTGGAAAAGGGAGCCCTTTAGGAATGGGACTCATTCTTTTACTTACTTACATCAAAAAGGATTTGTGGCACTTCACAGTGTGAAGAAAATGGAAAACTGCAGAAGTGGCCACAGGCAAATAAGTATAATAAAAATTATATGAAGCCAGGGATTGTTAATACAGAGGAAGTGTGCATGCTTTCAGTAAAAACTAACATTTTTTAACTCGTTTTTGTTGGAAAATTTTCTCAATATGTTACAGATTTAACCCACGCAGTATGCTAAGTGTAGTTTAGGACATCTTGGAGAAACTGTTGTGTAAGTTGAAAACTGCAGTGTTTTCCTCTCTGTAACCATTTGTCCCCAAACAGAGTACTTGTTAATTTTAAAGTTTTTAAATGGTCCAGAAGTGAATAACATAAAAAGCGAAAGTCCCATATTATACAAACCCAAGGTAATAACTAAAATTTGGTTGTGTGTTCATTCAGTAACCCTTTTTCACTAGTGTTGAAAACTTAAGAATGAAGTATTTGATATAAAAAATGTATATAAAGTGTAAGTTATGAAGCAAAGCCAATATTTATGAATCCATTCTCCAAGTTTAAGACATAGAATATTTCCTTTGCCAAGCAACTCCCTGTATGCTGCTTCCTGTGATGCACTTGTGTAACTTTGCATGTTTTTCATCATAATAGAAATGGTTTCATACCGTTTGTATTTATTTTACTTGCTTGTTTTCCAACTAACAGTGTATTTTGAGATTCATCCATATTGGTGTGTGAGATTGTAGTCATTCACTTACTTGTGAAAATTATGTTCTTCCATTCTTGTCAATGGACATTGGGTAATTCTAGAAACAGCATGTTTGGCTGCTACTCATTCTTGTATATGTTATGGATGCTCTTGTGCAAGGAGTGGAAATCCTGGAACATATGGTATAGGGCTGTTCAGTTTTACAATATGATGCCAAGTTATAAAGGCATTGCACATTCTTACTGGCAATTTACACTTCTACCAGCAATATATTAGAGTTCCTGTTGTTCCACGTACTTGTCAACACTTGATATTACCAGAAAATTATTTTTTTGTATGCCTATAGGATGTTGAAATGGTATCTTATTGCAGTTTTGCTTTTCTTAGGTTAGAAATTAAACATCTTTCAAATATTTGTTAGCTTTAATTACTAGTTTAATAACTACAATTAATTATTGTAGTATTTGTCAGGTTTTTTTCTTAAGTCAGCTTTGTAAAGTTAAATTTTTCTAGAAAATTGTTCAATTTGTATCCTTTCCGTATACAGGCATAAAGTTGCTGTTGCCTTCGTTTTGTTTTGTTTTGATTTGATTTATGCACTCTATATGATTATCCTTTTTTTCTTCAAATTATTTATTTTGCCTTCTTTTGCTTTTTTCTTATTAGCCTTACCAAAGACTTCACAGTAGGTTTAGTCTTTTAAGAGAACCAACTTTTGGTTTTGCTGATCCTCTCAGTTTTATGTCTTTTATATATGTTATTATTTTTTCTCTTACTGTTACTGTTTTCTTTCCATTTTTTGTAGATTCCCCCTTTAAAAACAACATAGAAATGGTACATGTCACATGTATTAATCAGTTTGGGCTGTAATAACAAATTAGCATAGGCTGGATTACTTAAGCATCCAACATTTATTTATTATAGTTCTGGAGGTTGGGAAATCCAGATCAAGGTGCCAGCACAACTAGTCTCTGTTGAGAGCCTGCTTCTGGTTTGCAGCTGGCTGTCTTTTCGTTGTATCCTCATGTGCAGAGAGTAGAAAGTCACAGCAAGCTCTTATTTCTCTTCTAAGGGCACTAATCCCATTCATGAGGGATATATACATATGTTTTTTGCAAGCACAGTGTAGGAAGATGTAATAAATGGTTAAAAAATACATATAATGAAAGAACATTCTAATTGTATGTAATGCTATCAAGAGCTTCTAGATAATCCTATAATTATAATAATTGATAAAATTTCTCACTATGTTAAGTGTTTTGCATAAATTGTCCTGTGTAATCTACTTAGTAACCTCATGAGATAGGTATGTAACTTGACCAAGGTCAAGCAGCTACTAAGTGTTTGTATTAATTTCCTATTGCTGCTGTAACAAATTACCACAAACTTAGTGGTTTAAAACATCTTACAGTTCTAGAGGTCAGATGTCTGAAATGGGTCTCACTGGGCTGAAATCGAGGTGTTAGAGCTGTGTTCTTCTTGTGAAGCTCTAAGGGAAAATCTGTTTACTCCCTTTCCAGCTTCTAGAAGCTGTCTTGACTCATTGCTCCTTTCCTCCATCTTCTAAGCTAGCATCAGCGGTCATGTGTGTCTCATGTTGCCGACTCTCTGGTCTCAATTCCAATTCTCTTTTTCTTTTTAAAGGATTCTTGTGAAGATGCTGGACCTACCCAGATAACCCCAGAAAATCTCCCTAGTTTAAGGTCATCTGATTAACAACCTTAATTCTATCTGTTACCCTAGTTCTCCCTTACCATTGTAACCTAACCCATTCACAGGGTCTGGGTATTAGGTTCTAAGCATCTTTGAGAGTCAGTATTCTGCTTGCCTCAGTGGGGTAACTGGAACTTGTACCCAACTCTGTCTCTAAAGCCAGTCCTTTAGGATATTGAAAATACCCAACTCTCAGGTTCATTTTTTTTTTAGAATGATGTTGCCTTTATTGAATATTATCTCAACAAGAGTTGGATAACTTTCATGGTGTTGAAAGTTAAGCTTTCTCTTTATAACCTAGAGAAAAGTGATCTCATTTATACGTTGCAGATGCCTGATACATTTTAAAATTTTTAGTTGGCAGGAGTAGAGAACCAAGAATAGAATTTACATACAAGAATACTAAATACAGTTCCTAGTGATTTCTAGAGATTTAAATACTAAATGTTGCCATTGGAAAATTCATACTTTTAATTATCCTTAATGATCTGATTCCTGGTGTTTCTGGCATTGCTTCAGACATGAATCAGTGTTTTTAATATATAAGTTTCTGCAATTTTGATAAAGGTTAACTAGCTTATCTCAAAGCTCTTCTTTTCATACTGTAACATTGGATGTCTCAAAGGCTGTCTGGAAGATATGGGCAGAGGGGAGAATTTTCACTGTATATGTCCTTTTGTACTTTTTGACTTGGATAAATATGAATGTATAAATTAAAAACACATTAAATAAAATTATTAAATTTTTAAAGTAGAATAAATGAACAGCTCCTGTTTTTCCCCACTTTGCTAGGATCACCCCTTCTGTGTCATTCTTTGAGGAAAACAAGTTCTTCTCAAGGTGAGAAGTCTGAACCTATTAAACAATCCCTTAAGAAGCCAATACCAGAAGGTCGTTTTGATGTACCAGAAGATACCTATTTAGAGAAAGAACCACTGACAAGTGAGTAAAGCTCCTTTCTTAATTTTTGAAGTATTAAAGTGTTTTAGTTATTGTAAAAAAAAACAAATGAAGAAACATGTTATTGCTTATAATTCTTTATTAAAAATAATAAAGCATATTGCAACGATGAATAGAATTACCATATTAACTATCAGTATGTGTGGGTTAAAAAAAAAAAAAAGAGGGCCGGCCGAGTGATTCAGTTGATTAAGAGCTTGCTCAAGAGTTTGAGCTCTGAGCAACAGCGGTTCAATGCCCGGCCTGAGCTGAGCTGCCGCTAAGCTGCTAATAGGTAGCAGGATGGCTCACCTAAAAAAACAAAAAAAAGATATCCAAGCCCCTGGCAGTGATTGATTGTGTTTAATTGTTGTATTTATTGTACCCCGTTATTCACATGACAAAATATATGCATTGAGGCCTACTTTAATGCAAACGAGGGAAACCTACTTGAGCAAACCCAAGCAGAAGGTACGGTATGTTGTTAGAATATAAGGTACAGGTGAAGCATTCCAGGGCAGTGATGATGCTTAGAAAAAGACTGGGCCTTTGGGGCTAAACACTACATGGAAACCAGGATATTCTCCCTCCTTTTCTTGTCTCTGGTCACTTGTCTTCTTTGCTTTCTATCTCCAAACTCCCTTCTCAGTCCACTGGGCATTAACTAACTAGTCCTAGCAGCTACTCAGTTCAAAAGTGCAACCAGACTGAAACTAGAATTTCTTAGTCCTGATTCCAAATTTTCTAAGCAAAGAGCTCATCGATCAAGCTTGGTGTTCACAGCTGAATCAGTCAAGAGTGTACAATGGGGGCCGGCCAAGTGGCATGCTGGTTAAGAACTGGCTTGGGACGCCAGAGGGCCCTGGTTCGGATCTCACATATGAGGGCCAGTGACACTGCCCTCCACAGCTAAGATGCCGAACAACAGCTCAACCTGGAGCTGGGCTGCCGTGAGTC